GAGTCAAGACCTGACATCTCTTCACAACACTGTCAGAACACTTTTCAGCCTATTACAAGTGCTTTCTTGTTTCCCCTGAAAGAAGTTCTTAAACAAGTTTAAGACCATAATGAAATGAAGAAAAAACTGATGGATCTGCTTACATCAAAATAGGAATTTCTATGCATCCAAGGACATCAAGAACAAACATACATATTACAGAATGAGAAATGATACTTGTTTTTGTGAGACAGAGTTTCACTACGTCACCCTCGGTAGAGTGCTGTGGCATCACAGCTCACAGCAACCTCAAACTCTTGGCCTTAAGCAATTCTTTTGCCTCAGCCTCCCAAGTAGCTGTGACTATAGGCACTTGCCACAACACCTGGCTATTTTTTGCTGCAGTTGTCATTGTTGTTTAGCTGGCCTGGGCCAGGTTCAAACCCACCAGCCTTGGTAGGTGTGGTTGGCGCTGTAACCACTGTGCTACAGGTGCCAAGCCAAGAAATGATATTTGAAATCTTTAAAACCAGTATCACTACAATATGTAAGGTATCTTAGGAATTAACAGAGAAAAATAAAAGGATAGCAACTGCAATAGGAATATGACCCATGAATTAATAACAGGCATTTTCCTGGAGAGGAAATTAAAAAAGCCATTAGTACAGTAGAACCTCCAAAGCTGACCACCTCCCTACATTGACCACCTCCTTAAGTTGCCCTAATTTTTATAGACTGGACATACACCACATGTGCTCAATAGAAATTCCTTATGTTGACCACTGCTGTTATGCTAACAGTCTGTTACAGCCCCTTGGGAGGTCAACTTACAAAGGTTCTGCAACGAAGAAGAGAAAGTGAAGATTAAAATAACCATTTGCTGAATAATGCTAAGAGTTGGTAGGGATGCTGGGGCACAGGAACCCTTACCACTGTTGGTGGCTGCGCAGACTGTACAGACATTCTGGAGAGCATTTAGCACTGTATAGTCAAATCAGGTAAACATACACCTTAAATTCAGAAATCCTTCACCTGTGTATCTATTCCAAGGAAATTCTCATTCAAGTCCACAAATGAAACATGAGAACATGAACTGAGGCACCTTGATGCATAAATATTTATAACAGTAAAAAGTAACAGCACAAGCTAACATGTACAAACAAAACCACTTTTCTCCACTATTCATCACCTATTTTTGTTAATCTTTAGGTAAAGAATAGTGAGCACTTACCATGTGCTAGGTACATGATCTTACAGGGGCCACGAGAACCATCATTTTATACATTAAGAAAAACAGAGGCACAGGAAAGCCAAGTAACTCTCCTAAAGTGACACTGCTAGTGAGCTTCACTAGGTACATTTCAAACCCAGACACTATTATTACTCTACGGTAAGGGTCAGCAAACTATGGCCCATCGCACAAATCTGGCCTGTCTCCTACTTTTGTAAACCAAGCCTTACTGGAGCACACCCCACTCACTCTTTACAATATCATCAGTAGCTGCTTTTGTGGTACAGCAGAAGAGCTGTGTAGTTGTGACAGAGACTGTGAGCTCTACAAAGTTTAAATATTTAATTTTGGGTCCTTTACAGATAAAGGCTGCCAACCTTAGCCCTAAGGAAGTATTGTCCACCAGCAGAACTTTCTCCATGATGATGGAACATTCTATATCTACATTACCCAAGATGGTTGCTATTGAGCACCTGAAATATGAATAGTGTGAATAGGGAACTCAACTTTTAATTTTTATTTCTTTATTTGTGAGACAGAATCTCACTTTTTTGCCCTAGGTGGAGCGCCATGGCACCATAGCTCATATCAACCTCAAACTTTGGGGCTCAAGAGATCCTCTTGCCTCAGTTTTTCATTTTTAGAAGAGATGGGGTCTTGCACTTGCTCAGGCTGGTTTTGAACTTGTGAACTCAGGCAACACACCCACCTTAGCCTCCCATTGTGCTAGGATTGCAGGCATGAGCCACCACTAATTTTAATTTTTAAACTCAAGTAGTCACACATGGCCAATAGCTACCACAGATCAAGAACTATGAAGAATCTAAGATTTTACCCTACTTGCCAGTTAACAAGTTAACATCAAAGTTTCAGGGTTGCTGGCTGTAGACATGAAGCTTTTGGGAAAGATAAAGGACTTCATTATTCTCAGCACAGTGGGCAGCATAAACTTAATGTTCCTATTAGTTCCCTTTGTCCCCAAGTTACAGCCTGGCACAGTGAATTTTTCTAATTTTGAATATAAGCCAAATTTTTTTCATACCAAATGCAGGGCTCAGTAATCCCTGACACAGTTTCCAGTTGTACACCTTAATGGTCAATACAGATATCTGACCTATGCAAGTTCCTATGGTAGCCACTTCCCTATGGGGTAGCTACCTACCTACGGTCTACCCAATGGTCTTGCTGACTTACACATCCCACAAAGACTATGCAGATATGCAGAATGACCACCTCTCAGTCACTGCATGACCTCCTGGAATGCATGACCACTTAATTTAATTAAACCCTCCACTCCCCAAAGGAAACCTATCTGGATAATGCCCTGGACTCACAGGTCCCTTTCTCTCTCTCCTTGACTTTCATGTATGTGGCCTCTAAGCATGCTGTATATCCCCCAGGACTTGTAAATAGTAAAACCTTTCCATCTTGAGTGTCTCCTGATCATTGGAGGAGTGCTCTCTACCTTAAAGACCCTAAACTAAAACACCGAGGTAGATGGTACATATACGGTGGGTTTTCATCACAGCTGATGAATCCCAAGCTTAGGAAATCTCATTCTTTTATAATAGACTGCAAACAAATCTTCTCCAGAGAGAGCCATCATCTTTTTTACACTGGATAGCAAAACAAACTCACCCTCTTCTCTGATAGGACATGCTATATATTCCAAGGATGCTCATAGTACAAATATTCTTGAAAAGATTGGCAGAAAACCTGTCCATGCTACTCCTCCGAAGATGTGCAGAAACACAAGACCTATGGAGAATTGTCTCCCAACACTGTATTATGTAGCAGAGTTCTGGAGCCCATCCTGTTAACCACTGAGCTGTCACCATGGACTTGATTTTCTAAGAGTCTACACTATTTTTTGTATCTTTCTGACCCTACATCACTTCAATTAAAACAGGATACTTTGAATACTTAATGTTATAATAGGGATGACATAAGAAGGTGGATTCATCTGTTAAAAAATCCAACAGTAGGGAATTTGGAAGAAAAAAACTAGTGTCTCAATTGTAAGAGGGACTTTACCTAACAAATGCAATCAGTGTAACCTGGTTTCTTGTACCCTCAACGAATCCCCAACAATAAAAATAAAAACAAACAAACAAACAAACCCTAGTGTCTATGAACTTGTCACCTCGGACACAGAATCTTTAAACTGGGAGGGATGTTAAATAGAAAAATCTCTATTTTGATTCTGTTATTTCATAAATAAAAAAACTGAGGTTCAATGAGATTGAAAAATCTTATCACAGTCATCTCTCTGGTTTACAGTAGCAGGAGGTTTACAATTTAGATCTCCATCCACTATTGCATGCTGCCGTCAGTTTATAATGGTTAAGAATACAGAATCTGATGGGAGAATGCCTAATTTTGAATCCATGTTCTATCACTTTTCTAACTCTGTCACCCTGGAAAGGTACTTTAATCTTTCTAAAAGGAGGTCTTCTCACTTACAAAATGGGGCCAACAATTGCACCTATCTCATACAAGTTGTTGAAGGAATTACTGAGAGCACTTAGCACTATTGTGTTATTTCGCTGTGTTTTTGATAAAGAATGGAACAAATATTCTCTGTATACTGAAAGCATAAAGTATGCTACATAGAAAAGTGGATAATCCCACTGTAATGATGGATACATATATACAAGTGATATTTAAACACTGTCTCATAAACCAAAGGGCACTGAGAGCAAATACAAGACATCCACTGCCTGCCCTTTAATTTCCTTATTAATTTTGCAGATGACCACTGTCCCAGGGGTCATATAATTTCTCCATCCTTCCTCTACCCTTTATGAGAAATCATCAAATTAGCAGAAAGCAAAGCAACTTAATGATTTTATTTAAAGTATTAACCTTCAAAACACTGTTAAAGTCATTGACAGCTGAGCTCTATATTCAACACCAACTATTTCCTCATCTATCAATCCTCTTTCATATATAGGACTGCTATTAACATACAGTCATGATGAAAAAGTTAAATTCAGAATAGAACAGCCAAAACCAAAAATTCAGCATATCTTAGGCAAATTTTGAACTGTTATCATAAAATTTAATTTCAAGCAAGCTCCTTACCAAAAATAGATAAACTGACACTTGACTGTACGTTCTTTTACATTCACTGATTTTTACGATTTTCATTCACATGGCTTTTAGTACACTCACATTTACTGGGATGATACTCTGAAAGCTGTTTTCCCTCATGTTCAGTCCAAGGAGAAGGTACGATGACATCTTTAGTGAAAAACTAGGAAAATTAAAGTCAGATGATTAGGCAAAACTTCCCTCCACATATGAGAAGGTACCTGTGTTGCTTTCACAGAAACAATAAATACGTGCCATACTGAACTTTATATTTTAAATTTGTAGTACCTGAAAGTATAAAGGACCCAAAGTGAAATGGAAGAAATTTAAAGTATTTAGAAACTATTTTTGAGGGGTGTGATAACAGGAAGGGTTAAGGTTAAGAGGGAAGGAATAAATGGAGATAGATGTATGCAAGTTAGCCAGTGTGAATCACGCTCTGGAGATGGCTGGGTTGCACTGGGCCTCAAAATCTAATTATTGTATTTTTAGGAATTTTGGGCACCAGTTGCTAAAAAAAGCCAGTATTAAAAATAAAATTAAGAAAATGTACAATTAAATAAATTACATTAAAAATAAAGGTAACGAATTTTCAAAACTCATCATTTGCTAATTATTTTACCACATTTACCAACATCTACACTCTTGAAGTTAACAGTATTGTTTTATCCACATGGTAAAATTATCCCATATAATAATGATGCACCACTGTTCTTTTCCCACTTAGCAATGTCACATCAATAGCTTAAAATATGACATGGTTAGAGTATTCGTTCTATGGATAGCAGCAATCACTATAAAAAGCACATTTTCCATGAGCAGAGGGCCAGCTATTAAACATTTATCAGCACACCACTGGCCAGTATACTCAAATGCAGATCGGGCACTTGGATATATTTCTATCCTCTTTCATTCATCAGACAGTATTTTTTCCCTTCCCTATGGGAGTAACTCAAAAGATCTTCTTTACATTTGACTACACACATAACAGATAAATCGCCTTAACCAAACTACTATGAATATGAGGAAAAGATAAAAAAAGGAGGAGTCAGATTATGATACAGGAATTCAAAGGAAAAAAAAAAAGAAATGAAATGGACTGATAACCTTAAGAAGTTATAAATAAGTTCACTTGAAGGTAAAAAAAATAAATCCAAAATAACAAGATGTCATTTTAAAAAATATAAATCCAAAATAACAAGATGTCATTTTAAAGTTAGAGGAGCCAAAATTAATTTTGATAATAATTAGTACTGGAGATGTGAAAAAACAGACAGTATAAGAATATAACCAGGAGTGTAAATTAGTAATGCCTTTTATAAGGGCAATCTGGTGAAATCTACCCAAAACTAAAAATTCACAATGCTTCTGACTTAGTAAATCCATTTCAAGAACATAGATATATGTACAAATTACTGCAGCACCCTGCTTTATTTGTGAGAGAAAATAATGAACACAACTTATATATGCTTATTATAAAAAATCTAAGAAAAATTATTTAGCAAAAAATCACGATGCAAAATAGCATGAAAATGATAATCCTACTTGTCCAAAATGTAATATTTAAAGTATATGTGTTATTAAACACAAAATAATCTGAAGTATATATAAGAATTATTATAGCAGTTGCCTTTTAAGAAGTGGAGGCGGGAGGGAAGAGGCCTGTCTTTTCCTTTTCATATTTTTCTTTGTATTTGAATTATATTTACCATATCTAGGTATTTATTGTATTTTCAAAAATACATATTTAAAAAATTTAATTTGTTTCTGATATGTTGGCCCTAATCTTTACTCTGACTTCATTACTTGCCGACTTACACCTTCAGGATGAGAATTCTAAAAGAGAGTGTATTTTTCAAAATGTCAGGAATTTGCAAAGAGTCTGAGAATATACAGCTGGCGAAGCACCAAGTTCAGAATGAAAATCAAGAAATTGTAAAATTAAAGAAGTAGGTAATATTGGACAGAAGTAAATATATGAAATTGCATTCTAAAAAACAGGCCAAGGAAACAACCCTTACACTAAGAAAAAGTGCAGGAGAAGCCCAGGCATGGCCTGATCTCTGAACTTGCCAGAGCGGAAATCTTTTGGGATTTAGAGAGCCAAGTTCAGTAAAGGAATGGAGGTAGGTTGAGGAGACTATGCAGGGAGAAAGAGAAAAGTCAGAAATGTTGCTAGACATAAAGACTTTCCGAGGAAAGAAACAGACACCTCTTACACTCTAAGAAAGGGAGTTCAGCAAAAAAAGCAAAAAGTGAAAAACTTAGTTTATTTTTAAAACTCTACATTTATAATACACATTTTCTGAATAGTGGTACACATTTTTTTTTTTGAGACAGAGCCTCAAGCTATAGCCCCGGGTGGAGTGCCATCGCGTCACAGCTCACAGCAACCTCCAACTCCTGGGTTCAAGTGAGTCTCTTGCCTCAGCCTCCCAAGTAGTTGGGACTACAGGTGCCCGCCACAACGCCTGGCTATTTTTTGATTATAGCTGTCATTGTTGTGTGGCAGGCTCGGGCTAGATTCAAACCTGCCAGCTCTAGCGTATGTGGCTGGCACCTTAACCGCTTGAGCTACAGGCACCGAGCCAAGTGGTAAACATTTTATTTCATGAAATATATTCCATGTCTTAAAAACCCAAAATCTTAAGAAGAAAAGGAAAAACCATTATCAATGATAATCTAGATTATGAAGGCCTAAAAATATTCAGCTTCCTCTATAAATTCCAACCGGAAACAGAAGTGTGTGCTAATCAATATTCTGCAGAAATGAAGAAGAAAAATTGTGCCAGGCCCTGAGAATAAAAAGATGAATGAGCACAGTATTGGCCACAAAATAATTCAATCTAGGGGAGAGAAACGCTATAGTGATGATTGTAACAGTTCGTAAATACTATGAGAGGGAGAGGGAGAGCTCAAAATCATTGGTCTTAGGAAAACACAGAAGGATGCTTACATAGCTGGCAGCAGGGGAGGTCTGGTGGGGAGCTGAGATAGTGAAAGATTTGCAAAGTCTTCCTAAAAGAGGTGACATGCACGCAGAATTGAATCTTACTTGGCTTAATGATCAGTAACAATTTTAAGTTACCTCTTCAATGGCTTTTTGTCTTTTGTCTTCCACATCTTTATCTATTCTATATAGAAATAAAGAAGAAAAATAACCATGCCATTACTTAAGCTTATTGAACATTTAAAATAATAACCTTTCAAAGAAATAATTTCCCTCTGTTGAAAACTGTCAAAGGGTAAGCTCGACTTTAAAATAAAAACTGGTATCTTAATAACATTTAGCAAACGGTAGTATTCTGAAATTCTGCATTTCACTATTAGGCCTTCCTCCCTCTTTCCATTGAAAGCTTGAATGGAATAATACTTTCTCTTTAAAAATTTACATTGATATAATTTTTAAATTGCTATTAACAACATAAAAGTAATCTGAATAAACTCTGTCCTTTAATCAACACAAATTAAGAAGTACAGTAGAGCCACCATAGCTGACCACCTCCCTACACTAACCACCTCCTTATGGCGACCTAATTTTTATATACTGGACATGCACCACATGTGTGTATCAGTACAGTAGGCCTAGTTCCTATGTTGACCACCTCCATACATTGACCAGTCTATGACAGTCCCTTGGGTGGTCAACTTACAGAGGTTCTACTGTACTTCCTTCAACAAGTATCTAAGAACTACCCAAATTCTGACTCTTTAATCACAGCAATAATTTTAGAATCAATTCTTACTCTAAAATAGAAGAAACTATCGTCCTTATGGTTCTGAAAAGGCAAAAAGCATTAATTCTGAAATAAAACATCAACAATATAAAATTTTCTCCAAATAAACTATTTTTTTCACTTTGATACAATATGCAATTATAACAACACAAATTTCTCAGTTATAAGATTTAATATGAAATGTGGAATATCAAGCAGAAGGCATGTACTTGCAAGGGACTCACCAGTTACCCTTACAGGACCACTTCTTTATTCTAGTCCAGAAAAGAATATTTGCTTTCCATCAACAAATGGGTAAGACACTTTTTTACAACAATTTCAAATGATTTTCTTTCAGAAATTTTTCAGGTATGTGTTTGTTCACAGCTTAACAAAGCTTTTGTGAGAATGCACACATCTTAGAAATTCTCAAGTGGGGGAATTACATGTGTAAGAAAATAAACTACAGTGATGATCACACATCCCAGCTTGAACAACAGCCATTTCGAGGGTAATAACTCAGTTCTCAGCATCTTATCATGGTCATGACCAGGTCAAAATGACACAGCACAGTAACATTAGCATCTGAATTAAGCTCTGAACTTCCATTACCACATTCAGAAACTTTTTGCTACTTCATCAGGACTCTTTAGGAACCAGAAATATTCTGGTGATTGCTGGAAACTGTAAAAATCAAGGGGGCTAAATATTATAGAGCCAGATTAAAGAAGTTCTAAGAAGTCATAAAGAGCAGAGTATCCCGACCAGCATCCCACTGCACACAGGTAGCAGGTGTGCACTCAATGCTGATCCTTTGCAGGGCGGAGAAGGAGACCTTTAGGAGTGATCACCTCCTATGTGGACAAGACTCATTTGTTTATACCATGCATATGCCTTACAGGTACCATTTTCTGTGGACAGTGGCATAGAAAGGATAAGAAGAACTGATATAAGAGCTCTGGTTAGGTAAGAAGAGACAGATACTGAAAGCCATTGCTTCTTTCTAAGGATGAATCAACGTACTATGCTATTATTGATAGAAGCCTTAACCATTCATTCAATTACATTAGTAAATTAGATTAAAATTAGGATATTTCACCATACTTTCCTTTTATATTACAAATCTTTCTATTGCAATACAGCAAGATTATTTTTGTAAACCTATATGGACAATACGTAATTTATCAACAGGTACAGAAACATTGTGCTACAACTTTGTCCTACTCATATTGAAGGCAGGAATAATATCCTGCATTTCTCGTCAGTGTTTCTCCCCCTGCCTCACTGTACTCAATATATATCTCTCCATCCGTAAGATACAATAACTGTCCAGGAGTCAATATATTTTGTCAAGAAAAGAGACAAAATAATTTTAAGCACAATCGACGTGAAACAAAAAATATTAGTCATTAACTGTGACTCATTTGTTTTTTGATATTTTCAGCTTCTCTTTCTAAAGTATTATTTAAGTTAAAATTCTTTTGTGCTTTGTGCTCATTTACTTCCTACAACCCTTTGAATGGACAATCATTGAGTGAATGGTCATCAAGTTACCAGGCAAAGAGAAAGAAAAGAGGAAAAAAAGCCAGGTAAGTATTTGTAAGAACATCTCAACATGTGTGCATTTTTGTGTCTAAATTATAAAGTCGAAAGGAAAAGGATCATCCTTTGTTTGGACCAACAATACATCTACCTTAAGACAGAAAATTAAAAGCTGGTTATACCATGTATTTGATTTTTTTTAAATATGAAAAAATAGGCTTGGTGCCTGTGGCTCAAGCGGCTAAGGCACCAGCCACATACACCTAATGTGGCGGGTTCGAATCCAGCACAGGCTTGCCAAACAATAATAATGGCTGCAACCAAAAAATAGCTGGGCGTTGTGGTGGGTGCCTGTAATCCCAGCTTTTGGGAGGCTGAGGCAGGAGACTCGCTTGAGCCCAGGAGTTGGAGGTTGCTGTGAGCAGTGAAGCCAGGGCACTCTACCCAGGGGCTCAGCTTGAGGCTCTGTCTCAAAAAAAAAAAAAGAAAAGAAAAAATACTATAATGCCTATATAAATGAAAGAGTACCAAAAACTATAAAAGAATAATACCACCTGATAGTTTGTTATCAAAAACTAAGTCTGTTTTCCACAAGAAATGCATGTTCTGATTATATTAGGCATCATTAAACAGCATACATCTGAGGCACATTAGTGCCCTGAAACCTACACAAGACATTGACAAGTTAAGACTGCACTGGGTACTATGCAGAATTTTAGCAATTATAATTCAGATCCCCCAAGGGAACTATGTCAAAGTTGGATGATGCCTTAAAAAACTCTCTGTTGCTAATGGACAACCTTGCATTCTATGTCTTAACTTGTGAAGGGGGTTTTAGGTTTTCCCAAATATAGCAACTAAACAGCATTTTGTTTTACTCTAAACTAGTAAGAAAATAAACCAAAAGAAGTCAATGGTAGAAGCCACAACCATGCAGAAGATACAAATTTCAAAATGCCCTTCCTTCTACCAAGTGCTGGGAGGGAGAGCTGTCCCTTAAATGGCAGAAGGTGAAGGTTCTCTCTAAAAGAAAAAGAAGCCTATCCAGATTTCCATCTGTTAGCAAGGAAATCTTTCTGGATGTAGTCCTGTGAACTCATTCAAAAATCTGCATCAGAATTTTTTTCTCCATGGTATCTGTACATATAAAAATATTCAACATTTGGAATTTCCTACCTTTCTTCATTTGAGGATATGTTATTAACTTAGGTGCAAGAAAGGAAAACTTACCGAGAATGACTTAAGTATAAAGCTTGACGATGAATATCTTCTGGATCTATTTCTACAGGATTTATTACAGCTAGTTGATCAATAGACCATCTAAATTGCCCTGGAGTCTTAATGAAACAAAGTGAGCTTATAAGTAAAAGCAAACTAAAATAGTCCATTAAACAAAGTGAGCTTATAAGTAAAAGCAAACTAAAATAGCAAAACGCTAACCATTGTCACCTTCAAAAATAATGTGAATAGTTATAATATTTTAAAGTTTATATTTTATAATTTGACTTTACCGCTAGCCTTTCCTAGTCTCCTACAGAGCACTTTCCTTTCCTATCAACATGATAGCACATTCACACTGTTTTGAAATTGCTCCTTTAGATGTGTCTAAAGTGTCCAAGTAGGGGCTGGCTTCTTTTTATAAATGCTGGCAAGCTGAAAATAGTGTTGACGTTTTTTTAAATGGTTGAACGAACCCAAAAGAATATTAATAGTTTTTGATAAGTGAAAATTACATGGAATTTGAATTTTAGTATCCATAAATAAAGCTTTACTGGAACATGGATACATTCATTTGTTTACACATTGCCCATGGCTTCTCTTATGATACAGGCAGAAGTGAATAGCTGTGACAACCATCAAGTGACCAGGAGAGCCTAAAAACTTAGTGTCTGGTCCCTGACAGAAAAAGTTTCCTGACCCCTACATGAGAGTATAACCTCCTTGAGGGTTTGTACCTAATGATCCGAACCTGTGCTTGGTGTCTAACCCCTGTGCTTAGCATGTTATCCGATACACAGCAACATTCAAACAATGTTTGCTAAACAATGAAAACAGATTAGATGGTGCAGCTTCTTTTATATTGATATATCATCAACCACAGTACTTAGCTCCCACAATTGCAGGAAGTTATGATGTTACCTCTTGAATGTAAAAAAAAAATGCTACACTAAAAAAAAAAAAAACTTCTAGCTAACTTATTATTGCTCAATCATGAGGTTATCACAAACACTGTAATTAAAAAAGCACATTGCAACTAGTATATATGTCATTTATCCTTGACCTTGTTAAAAAAATGTTTATAATTCCAATTATTTGTAGTTATGTACATTTAAAATTAGTTGTAAACACTAGAATAACTTACTGGTAATTTTGTTGATTTAAAAACAGAAGGACTGGCAAGAGTTTGCTCATGGAGATTAGAATAATCATTAGGACTTTCAAAAGGATTTAAAACAGGGATCCTTCCCGGAGTTTCCGGTGTTATCTGCATTTTTGATTCTTTGACATCTCCCATAGCACAGAGAGAAAACTAAAAAGAAATCAGAAGTATGCATGTTAAAACTACAAAGTTCTACAGACATTCGTTTTGGAAATTAAAATATATTCAGCAAACACGTTTCACAAAAAAAGAATTAATTCAAAACCTAAGATACCTACTTTAGTTCACAAAAAAAGTATCACATATCCATTTCTGGAGTGATCCTCCAAATAACTGGAGAGGTGTCAGTGATATCATTACAGAAATTAACGAGTTCAGAAAAGTTAAGCGGCTTATAAGTAACAGTCAACTATGAATGAGTTCAGACTTGCTTTGGGGACTACTAAACGTTACCATAGGCAGAAATCCCTTTCCAAGTAAAAGACTTATATCTATAGTTTTTATTCATTATCTCGTCTTTAAACTGTATGAACATCCTTTGGATATCCCAGCAATTCCCTAACAAACTATAGTTGCTATTAAACAATTCTTTGCAGCAAGCAGATAAGAGACGAAGACGCTTACGCCCTTCTTGCACGTTGGTCCTAGTCAGAGAAGTATGACTGACAGGGGCTAGGAAATGAACCGCTTTTGGTTGCCTTTCCTAAAACACTCCCTTTTCGCCAAGATCTTCTGGGATAGAAAGCGAGCCTGCATTCAAAGGATGGACTGGATGCATACTAGGGAAAGGAAGAAGAAGAAGAAGAATCCAATTCTGGAAGGCTGAGGTGCAGCTGGCTTCCTTGGGTAAAAAGCAGAGGAAGTGTCTCCCCACAACTTCCCACCATCACCCCTGGTTGGTGGCTGTCTCTTCCGCACCTACTTCCCTGCTGCAAGAGGGCAGGCTGGTGCAGACCTAAGGAAAGCAAACTTTCCAACTCGAGACAGGAGGGGAGGAAAGGCCAAGGACGACAAAGCCCGTACCTACCCGAGTGTATAAAAAGGACGCCCCAATACCGACTCCAGGGCGCTCCCAGGTGCCAGCCGGCTTCCACAGTAGGCACAGACTCTTTAACTCCCCGCTTCCGCGCCGGCCCAACCAGCGCCCCGGGCTTGAGCGCGCCTGGCCAATCCCTCCGCATCGCTGTCCGCGAACCGGCCAATCGCACAGACGCCACGTAAGATATTCGAATGGCAACTCCTCGCTCCACATTCCGCGCAGAGAAACGAGGCTCCAAATTCAAATCAACGCAGCCGCACGCCGGCGACGAGCGCGAGGGGCGGAGCCTGCCGGCGTGAGCGGGACGCGCGGCGCGGTTGCCCAGGAGAAAGGAAGGCGCTCCAGTTCCGGGTCAGGCCCTCCTCCCGCCTGCCCCGGCCAACGCCATGGCGAGCAGCGGCGGCCCCGGGGCGGCGGCGGCGACGGCCGCGGCCAATCTGAATGCCGTGAGGGAGACCATGGACGGTGAGTACCCGT